CAGGAAACTCAGCTTGGCGACCTCAGCCCTCTCTCGCGCGTGCCCTGCTGCAGCCTGGCTGAGCTTTGAAGGCCTCTGCTGTCAGCGTGGCCGCTCTGTTTCTGAAGGCCTCCCTCTCTACCCTGAGTCTGCTTGCAGATGGGGTCTCTCCATCAATCTCTTCCTTTGGTCCAAAGTCCTAGAGAAACAGCCTTTTTCCTTGTCTTTGAGGGCTATTCTCAGCTGCTGTGCCCCTCCCAAGCTGAGGCCCATCTAGAGTGGGGCTACTTCTTTGTCCTGCCCTTGACTGGCTGGAGGTGCAGAGGCAGTTTCTGGTGGATGCTGGGTGGGCAGAGCTGGTACAGGAGCCATGCAAGAGATACCAGCCCCTCCATGTCCCTCCCAGCCTGCTCCATGGTGACAGTGGTAGCGGAGCTGTAGGGAGGCTCTGCAGGGCCACTGTCTCCTGTGGTAGGAATAAGGCTGGTATTCTGAGGCCGCTGAGCAGTAGGGCCCAGCTCAGTACCTAGCAGCCCCGTCTGTGTCCTCCCAGACTCCGCTGTGGTTCTGGAGGAAGGAAGTCCAGGCGAGACTCACATGCCAGGGGAGCCCCCCGAGTTGGAGGATTTCGAAGCAGCGCTAGGTACAGACAGGCGCTGCCAGCGCCCTGACACTTACAGCAGGGTGAGTGCTACAGGCAGCCTTGGAGTCAGCCCTGAGCCACCAGGAGGGTGAAGGGATAGGGGTGCAATCCCTTCCCCAAGCCTCCTAAAAATGCACGGGCCTTGCCCTGTCTCATTTGAGAGATGGCCATCTGTTCTTCCATGTCCTTCCTGCTCACAGTGTCCTGGGGTGGCCCTTGTGATGTGGCTTTTCCAGGCTTTGTAATTCTTTGCTCCTCTACTCAGCATGGGCCCAGGGAAGGTGGGAACAGCTTGGCGGGGGGAAGGGCTTTCCAAGGGACCTGCTGAACACCTTCTCTGAATGGCCTTTTGCAGTCATCCTCAGCCTCCAGCCAGGAGGAAAAGTTGTCCCAAGTGGAGGAGCTAGCTGCAGGAGGCATACCCATCGAGCGGGCTGTCTCTTCCGAGGGGGGCCGGCCCTTGGTGGACCTCTCCTTCCAGCCTTCACAGCCCCTGAGCAAGTCCAGCTCCTCTCCTGAGCTACAGACCCTGCAGGACATCCTTGGAGAACCTGGGGACAAAGCTGATGTTGGCCAGTTGAGTCCCGAGGCCAAGGCCCGATCCCAGTCAGGAATACTGGATGGAGAAGGCGCCACTTGGTCAGCTGCAGGTGAAGAGAGCCGAGGTCCAGCTCCGCCTGAGGGTCCCTTGCCATCCAGCTCCCCTCGCTCTCCCAGTGGCCTCCGCCCCCGTGGCTACACCATCTCGGACTCTGCCCCATCACGCAGGGGCAAGAGAGTGGAGAGGGATGCCTTCAGAAACAGAGCTGCCACCACCAACACTGAGAAAGTCCCAGGCATCAACCCCAGGTGGGCCTTTCCCTGCTGGCTGAGCTCTTGCACACTGCCCAGAGCTGTGGCGCCTAAGCCACCCTGGGCAGTGCAGCTAGGAGTATGTCCTGTGTCCTGCCTGTGGCTTGCGGGGGCCTGAAGGAGGTTGGCTCCTTGGCCATGGGGCTTTCCCTTGGGCCTGTGGCGAGGCCCACCCTCACCCTTGCTGCTCCTCAGCTTTGTGTTCCTGCAGCTGTACCATTCACCTTTCTTTGGGGACGAGTCCAACAAACCCATCCTGTTGCCCAATGAGGTAGGCATGTCTGCCCTCCCCCACAGGGGTGTCTGAGGCATGGGTGTGGGGTTGGCCAAGGGGGGCAGGCTGGCAGCAGGGTTGGCCAATACCCGGGCTCAGACAGATTCCATGTGTCTACAGTCCTTCGAACGGTCAGTGCAGCTGCTTGACCAGATTCCATCCTATGACACCCACAAGATTGCTGTCCTGTACGTGGGAGAAGGCCAGGTGAGGCTGCTGGCTACCCTCCTGGTTTTAGAGGTCTGGATTCTCTTCTTCTTAGGAGCCTAGTCTTGTGATGTCCTCTGAGGCCTGTTTCAGGCACCAGTCTGAGTGTCAGTGACACAGGCATGAGATGACAGGCTGACATAAAGTCGTGGGATAGGCTAGAGCAGTGGTGGCGGACATATGGCATGTGTTCTGCACTGGACTGTTTCTATCATTGATCTCTAGCATGTTTGCCTTCACTGAGCTGGAGCAACGACCGTGGGGCCCTTGTGTGCTACAGCAGTGAATACAGAGGCCCCAGGGTGAGCCAGCCCAGAGTAAGCATGCAAGGTGGAGGGAGATGGGACCATGTGGGCAGTGAGGTGGCCTTGGATGGTTCTGAGCCAGTAGTTCACTGTGATGTGCCTTGTGTTTGGCAAACATCCCTCTTGTGTGTGGAGTCTCTGGAGTTGGGTAGTGACCATCTAGGCAAGAGAGGAAGAAGCTGGGAAGCGGGTGCTGAGCTGCTGAGTTGAATGCCTTAGGAAGACAGGGCTGACTGCATTTGTAGGCTGAACAGTGGGACTGGTTGAGAAGGCAGGAGCCCACCATGGTACCTGGGAGTCCAGCCCGGATAGTTGTCCGCATGAAGTTGCCCTGCACCAAGCAGGGATGGTGACAGAGCTCCTTTGGCTCTCCCACAGAGTAGCAGCGAGCTGGCCATCCTTTCCAATGAGCATGGCTCCTATAGGTACACAGAGTTCCTGACGGGCCTGGGCAGGCTCATCGAGCTCAAGGACTGCCAGCCTGACAAGGTGTACCTGGGTGGCCTTGACGTGTGCGGTGAGGACGGCCAGTTCACCTACTGCTGGCATGACGACATCATGCAAGGTATATAGGTGTCTCTGGTGGTCCCCACAGCCTGTAATGACTGAGGTGTCCTGGGTCACAATTAGCACAGAGTCTTTGGCTCTGCCCTTGAGAGGAGGCCAGAGCTGCTTGTCAGGTGCTCCCTGCAGGCCCTCGGTCACCAGAGAAACCAAGGTGGTCCTTGGTAGAAGCACAGAGACTTGGACCCCCCTACCCCCAGCCCTAGACATCCACCCAGGGTGGTGCCCACCACCCAGCTCAGCCTGACTCCTCTGCAGCTATCTTTCACATTGCCACCCTGATGCCTACCAAGGACGTGGACAAGCACCGCTGTGACAAGAAGCGGCACCTGGGTAATGACTTTGTTTCGATCATCTACAATGACTCTGGTGAGGAATTCAAGCTTGGCACCATCAAGGTGAGTGGTGCCTCTGTCTCTGGGTGCTCAGGCCCCACCCTTGTGGATGAACAGAGACCAAGGCCACATGGAGAGGTGCCCCTGGTCTATCCTGAGGTCTCCTTCATGAGCCATAAAGCTGACATACATCCCTGTGTACTAGAAGAGGCTGTCAGTGACAGTGGCAGCAAGCTGGCCATCCTCTGCAATGATATGGTCCCAAGTCTTAACCTCTCTAAGCCTGTTTTCTCATCTAAACAGTGGCCCTTGTCAGGAGTCACTGAACATGTGCCTAGCAAGATGCACAGTGCCTAGCAAGTGTTTAGTGTCTGCTTAGAGCCACCCTTGTGGAGCTGTGGCCTTCAGCCCCTCCTGGGCCCCTCTGACCAGGCTGTTGGTATACACCAGTGTCACCCATGTCCCAGCTGAGGTCAGAGAAGAGATGGCTTAGTTATAGTGAACTTGTTACAGCTGTGGTTGGTGGGTGTCAGTTTGGGACCATGCAGTCTGGGCTAAAGTGACGGTGTTTGGGTTGACTCACAATGTACCAGAAGCCTTGGAGGACACTGGGCCAGGAAGCTAGCGGGGAATGGGTACTTGTGGGAAGGCTAGCACGGCCATCCTGGAGACATTTCCACAATAAACAAAGGGAAGAGGGGCTCCAAGAGAAGCCAAGGAAGGAGGGCGGTGCCCCACTGAGACACTGCCTGGCTCTGTCATGGTGGGAGGCAGCCTTGGATGCACATGCTGGGGAAGAGACTCTTGGGAGGAGTCAGCCTCAGGGTTGCTGCTCTGTGTTGAGCTTTGGGACCCAGGGCTCAGGCAGTATCCATGTGCCTACAACCCTTGATGTGTTTCCACCCTGGGGTCCGGGTGTGGTGGGCCATCATGGCCCGCAGGCAGGTGACAAGCGTGTGGATACACCAGTGAATCCTGAGCCCTCAGGATGGGCTCATGCCAGGTCTCTTGTCTGGCAGGGCCAGTTCAACTTTGTCCACGTGATCATCACACCTCTGGACTATGAGTGCAACCTGCTGTCCCTGCAGTGCAGGAAAGGTGAGGCCCTGGGTGGGTGGTCAGGCAGTGAGTGACAGGGCCTTGAGCCTGGTGTGAGCACTGTGTTTCCTCAGACATGGAGGGCCTGGTGGATACTAGCGTGGCCAAGATTGTGTCTGACCGCAACCTGCCCTTTGTGGCCCGCCAGATGGCCCTGCATGCAAATGTGAGTAGAGGCCAGGTTGGAGGCCCATATGGGTCTATAGCTGCCACTGGCTGGAGGACTCACTGTCCTGCCCTCTGGCCCACAGATGGCCTCACAGGTGCACCACAGCCGCTCTAACCCAACGGACATCTACCCTTCCAAGTGGATTGCTCGGCTCCGCCACATTAAGAGGCTCCGCCACCGGGTAGGGAGGAGGGGCCCCCTCAGGGATGTGTAGCTGATGGACGTCGGGGCAGCATCCAGCCTAGGCAGAGCAAGTGCCGCCTCTTCTGGGCTTGCCACTAAAGCTACCTCTCCCCCTAGATCCGGGAGGAAGCCCACTACTCAAACCCCAGCCTGCCTCTGATGCACCCCCCAGCCCATGCCAAAGCCTCAGCTCAGGCCCCACCAGAACCCACGCCCACCTACGAGACAGGCCAGCGGAAGCGTCTCATCTCCTCGGTGGATGACTTCACAGAGTTTGTGTGAGGCAGAGCACGGGCCCAGGGCTCTTCCTGGCTGCCCCCAATGATACTGGATGGTATTTTGTATAAATGAAATAAAGTGGGGCTGCTTGGTGCTGAGACAGAGGCACAGGTAGCAGTCAGACAGCTCCTTTATTTGACTTTGTCTGTTTTGGAGGGTTGGAGACAGGATTAAAGCTATAACTAGGGCCCTCAGGGGACATGTGCCCTCTCCCACCTGTGGTGCCTTGGTACTGCCCAGGCCTCCCACGCTCACCTGCCCCAACCTGGGAGCCAGCCCCCAGGAGGAGTCTTCCCCCTCCCTGCCTGGCATCCTTCACCACATGCAAGTCCCTTACCCAGACCTGACACCAGCAGGCCTGGGTGCTATCCCCAGCTCCAGGCAGGGGACAAAAACAAGGCCAAGGTGGTGAAAGGAATACCAGGGTAGAGCTGTGGCCCCAAAATTCATCTAGCACCTGCCCAAGGCCAGACTCGGATCCAAAAAGCAGATGCAGCTTCCCTGGCACCCTCACTGGCAACAGTGGGCCCAGGGCCCTGCTTTAGCTACCAGGCCCCTAAGCTCTACTGGAAAAGTGACATACAAAAATATATACATTTTAACCTCATATAAATTACTGACGGTAGACACAAAATGGGATGGTAGCTGGAGGCGAGTGTGCTACGTGGACAAGGGAAGAAGTAATAACTTAGGGGGTGAAGGATAGGAGGCGCAGCTTACCCTCCCTGAAGCCTGGTTCCTTAGCAAGGGGAGCAGGCTGCCCAGGGGTGGCACCGGGCACAGCCCTGCTGTACCTGAGGACTTGGGAAATAAATTAGCAGTCGGAGGCTGGGTACTCGCTCGTTCCAATACTGTTGTGTCCTCCCACAGGGACCTGGGAGGGGACCCTGGGTCCTGGCTGGTCACACAGCCTTTTTAAAGTGCTGAAGCCCATAGGCAGGCAGACCCACCCTGCCTGCTCTCTGGGGAACCTGTGTGTAGCCATACTGCCTAGCCTGAGGCCTTGAGGCAGAAGGTAATACTGAGCACTGTCTACGCTGGCTCCTGGGGACCAGAGCAAAGCCACAGGCCTTCCCCCAGGAAGGGGCATGACCCAGGCCTCTGGGATTAAGTGCTGCTGGGGTGGACCTTGTTCTTGGCCCACAGAGGTGTCCTTCTGGGGCCTGTAGTTAGGTCCATGCCCTGACTGGCCTGGGCGGGGTGGCTGGGCAGGACTGATTTGGGGCTTGGGGAGGGGCTGGGGCGAGGTGATGCAGGAAACTGGGTGCTCCCACAGCTTTGAAGCCTCTGCAGCCGCTGTTCCAGCTGGTAGACATCCTCTGTGGCCTGGTTGAGTCGGTCAAACTGGGTAAGCAGGGCCTCGAACACAGCATGGAGGCGGGAAGGCTCTGGCTCAGGCTCCCCCTGGGCTCCTGGGCGGCCTGGGCCTGCATTCGGTGCATCCAGCTGGCTGGAGGAGGTGGAGGGGTGCGAAGCGTCGGAGCCACCACTGGGTGGCGGTGCCTCTGGGGAAGATTTGGAAGCTCTGGACGATCGAGAGGGCAGTGGCTCCATCCCTTCAAAGCGGACTTTGTGGCGGAACTGGGGGCGGCACAGGGGCTCGGTCAGTCCGACTGCACCCTGGGCTCATGGGCCCAGAGTGTGTCCCTCTCCCCCCCACTGGGCCGTACCCACCTCCTTGACCTTGCTGAAGCCCATCCAGAGGCGTAGCCTGCGCAGGAAGAGCTCCACCATCTCGTAGTCTTGGGGTTCCCAGGCTGGGCGGTAGAGTTCGCCCCGCAGAGAGTGGTACCGCCAACGCAGAAGAACTGCACCCAGTCTGAGGGCTCCACACAGGCGCAGAGCCCAGAGTCCCATGCACAGCAGAGGGGACAGGTGCCAGGACTCGCCCAGGCACAAGGTGGGGACCCTGGCCCCGGGGCATAGCACCAGGAGGGCCTGGACCACGTTGTGGAGGGAGTCCGTGCAAGAGGAGACAAGCTGCAGAGCAGGGGCAGGAATGAGTGTGTGCCTGGGCCAAGGCCCCTCCCCCCCCCGCCCACAGCTACTTACCAGAACAGCCAACTGGGCATAGGCCACTCCAAGTATAACCAGGCCCAAAGTGGCCCCTAGGAGCTCTGGCAGGGCCTGGCACAGGGTCTTACCAAACACAGACCACTGGCGCACAAACCGCAGCTGCTGGGCGGTCTGTGGGTAAGGAACATCAGCCGCAGCTCCAGGGTCTGGCCCAGCCCTTTCCCCCCCGAACTGGCTCTCACCTTGACCAAGAGCAGGAAGAGCAGCGAAGCTGCCAGGCCACGGGCTGCAGTACTTAGCTGTGCCACCTGGTCAAAGCTGGTGAAATGGTGGGGGCGACCACGCAGGAAGCGAGTCCACTGGTGGTCGGCAGTGCCTAGCTGGGCCAGACGTACCAGTGCCGCAGCTGCTGTCAGTGTGACCAGGAGCCACTGTGCCCAGGCCCCAGGCTGCTTGGCATGTGAACAGCCCTCCCTGTGCCAGGCTCGCGCCTCAGCCACAGAGAAGTATAGTGCGAACAGCAGCAGGCACACCTGGGAAGGCGGACAGGATGAGACCTGTGGGGGCAGGGCCCAACAAGGAGGTAACCCAGGGCTGCAGAGGGGCAAGTGGTAGGAGGGCATGTGCATACCGATGTGAGCAGTGGCAGAGACAGTCCTGTGCTGAAGCGCAGCAGCACAAATGGGCGGACGCTGAGAGCTGTCAGGGCATGGCCAGTGGCAGGAAACTCGAGGCGCAGTGTGACGGCAGCGTGTAGCCCTACGGCTGGGCTGTAGCGTGTGAGCTCCACAAACACAGCACGGCTCCTATGTAGAGAGTGTGGTCAGCAGGGTAGGGCAAGGCCAAAGCGCACAGGAGAGCAGAGGCAGGACAGCTTGGGTAGGGGAGGCAGGCTGGAGAGTCCAAAGGCTGGGGTGGGGGCAGAGCCAGGAGGGAGGTCAAGGCAGGCAGCACTCACTTGCTGTCAAGCCAGTTGTGTTGCTGCAAGAAGTGCAGACGTGCGCGGCTCTCCTCCAGGCTCAGACCCAGCTCCTGCACATAGCCACCGCTGTCGTACACCGCGCAGTAACCCCAGTACCAGGTGCTGTAGGACCGGTCAGTGTTAAGGTGGTCCTAGGCTCACAAGCACCTGGGAGCCAGGTTGGAGAAAAGGTAGGGGGCTCCCCTGGAGAACCCCCCCTCCCACCTGCAGGGGTTCTTCTCACCCCAGTAGGTCAGGCACAGAGTAAGTCCATGTCTCTGAGCCGTTACGGGCTGCACTCTGCCAGCCAACGCCATAGTCGACTGTGCTGAAGCCTCCTGCAGCTGGGCACAGGTGCACCCCAGAGCTGGAAGGGTCTGGACACAGGGCTGGAACGCACAGACCCCAGGTGACCTCCCTGAGCCCTCCCAGCAACCCACACTGCGCTCTGTTTACAGACAGGTAACCGAGGCAGGAGGCAGGTAAAGTTGACATAGGCATCAGAGCTGAAACACAACGCAGCTGTAGGCTGCTATGAAAAGAGGAGGAACAAGGGTGACGGGGTCCTCCAGCTCACCTTCCTGCAGCCGCACCTGCCGCAGCCGTGGGGGCCCCAGCTCAGGGTTGGACTGGTTCCCATGGACGTAGGGCAGCAGCACGTGGGACATCCATGGCCAGAACTCATCAGACCTACCAGCAGCAGATACAGTCACACTCCAGCTCATGGCTTCCCCACCCCACCGGGGGCAGGTAACTCCACCCTAAGGCTGTCCTGTGCAGTACAGGATGCTTAGCGGGTTCTCTGATCTCTGCCCAACGTATGCCTGCAGCACCTCCTCCAGGCCTGACAACCAAAAACGTATCTAGATATTTGTAAATGTTCCCTAGGGGCTGGGATGGGCCCAACTGGATCAGTGCCACCTTGAACCAACAGATACGTGTGTCCTAGGATATTCCTACCGCGTGATGGCCAGAAAAGCTCGGCTATCCAGCTCCTGTTTGATGGCGCTCTGCAGACGGTAGGCGTGGTTGTGGTAGGAGGCATCCCCATAGTTGGCCAACAGTGTCACCAGCAGGAAAAGCATGTGTACCAAGAGGCTCTGGGAGACAATGATACCCCGGTGGTCAGCTGATTCCAGCCCACAATACAAGAGCATGGCCTTAGAATGCTGGGTAGCCAGCTGCCCCTGCCCAGGGTGTTCAGCACTAAGGAAGACTGTAAGATGCCCTCCTGTGGAAGACACAGGCCACTGAAGGCATGGCAGCTATGCTCAGGGCCCTGCAAGGCCCGGCAGAAGCAGATGTTAAGGATGATGCAAGGGAGTCAGGACAGGGGAACAGTATCCCCGCTGAGGGGCCCTGTGTGGTCACAGAATTGGGACAGGCAAGGTTCAAACATGTGCTGCCCAGGAGCTGAGAGGCGGGAAAGAGTGGCCAAGCTCACCCTCAGCATGCTGTGCAGCCTCTTGACCTTTCGAGCTTCCTCCTTTGCCAGGAAGAGAGCAAAGCCATGGGGAGGCCGCACACGGGGCACACGCTCGCTCACTGGTGTCACAGCTGGACTTTCCACCAGCATGTCATCTTCATCAGGATGCAGCCGCTTGGCCACAAGTGAGAAGTAAAGGGCTTCCAGCAGGACCTAGGACAAGGGTGACATCAGCCAGACAGCTTGAGACTAGCAGCCCCAGCCCTGCTGGCCCAACTCACCTTCAGTGGCTCCCAGCCAAGGAATGAGGCCAGGAAGCTAGAGCTGCTCGAGAGGAGCCACATGACACTCACGCTCGGGGGGAAGCTGGCACCAACCCACCCTGAGACCCCCACGGCCACCGCCACCAGGAGTAGGCTGAGGCCATGGGCCAGAGGGGCACACCAGGTAGGCATCAGTCGTTTCTGCAGACCTCCCACCAGTCCTGGGGACACAGAAGCAGCCATGTAACTAGCAGCCCAGAGGGAGGGGCTGAGGGATAGCTGGATCCTCAGATGTACCTGTTCTGGAGAGCTGGGCCAATGGGGGCTGTTCCCAGGTCAGGCCTGGGCCAGGAGGCCCACTGCCCCCAAACCTCTGCATTGCTGGTGTCTCTGTCTTCTCTCCAGGAATGCTGGACCTAGGCACAGGCAGGGCAGTGGGTGGGTTCTGAGCCCTTCCCAGATGGGCAGTGGTGGTCCTGCCCTCTCAGCTGGGTGGGCAACTCCTCCAGCCTCTCAGGGCCTGAACCAAGTGGGTATAGTGCTAGGAGCTCAGGACACCGTGGTCAGTTTCTTCCATGCTTCCTGCTGACAAACCCATCCCCCAGGGCCTGAGATGTCCTAACTGTTCCACCATGCCCTAACAGCATCACTTCTTGGGGCCCCTGCAAGCTGCTCACACCACCAAGGTAGCCAGGGCTCTAGGCCTTCCACTGAGCACATCCCAAGCCTTGCCTGCAGGGTTGAGCATGTCCCCTCAGAGCCAGGGCACCACCTTGGGGTCACACAGTCTAACATTACCTTCTAGACAAAGAAAGTTACACATGTCTTTCAGATCCCAATGGTACATCCCAGGGACCTGCTGCTGCTAAGGAGCCACCTGACCAGAGTGTCACATCAGTGAGTCCACATGCCACAGTGACCCTCCCAAGTCCAATGCTGTCACAGAAGAAGGGGACATAGAGACAAAAGTACAAATGGAAAGGCTGGCTGGAGCAAGGCAGGATGGACACCAGCTGAGGAAAACATCCTCATGCTTCTTGCAGCTACCCTGAGCCCTAACTGCACAACCCAGATGAGTGTGTACCTGCCACTGAAAACCCCCACACCTGGCTCTGTCACTGGGCCTGTAGAGGATACATCACTTGTCAGGTGACAGTTTTTCTTGAAACTGACTTCTCCGAATATAAAAATTATATGAAATACTGTAGAAAATAGGATGAAGAGAAAAAAGATTGATCTCAGCATTTCCGCCCGCAGGAGCAGAGCCTTAGTGTCCTTGCCTATCCTGCATGTGCGTCAACCTCGAGGCTGCATGACCTGAGAGCTGTGGCTGCAAGTGTAAGTCACTGGCTCCACCAGCTGCCCACATGTTCATCACTGCCCTGCTGAATGCTGGGCCCTGCCGCAAGCTCTAGGATATGCATGTGGAGGAACCAAATCCCTCTATTCACAGCGCGCCCGGTCACCAAAAGCACCAGGGGCCAGTGCATACGAGCAGTCAGACCCATCGGCAGCTCCTGCTTCATGTACATGGGCAGGAAGGCAGGCTCTGTTCAGGTGACACCAAGGAAGCACCAGGGGTCACCTCAGGGAAGGACATTCCAAGAAGTAAGGTGAGCTGTGTTCTGGGGGGCAGCAGCAGGGTCCAGACTGCCAGGCAGCTAGGCAGCAGTGAATGGCCTTCTCTAGTGTGGGAGGTTACCACCGGGACAGTCCTAACAATACCCATAACCCGCATCAGGCTTCTGTGTAGCCCTCCTGGAGTAACCAAGAAGAAAACTCTGGAGGTGAGAGTGTGTAGCCAGTGCTGTGGCAATGATTCCCTTTCTCAAGATAGCTGGCTCCAGGGGAGATGCGGGCTATCAGGTAGGAAGGCTTGTGAGGAACTGAGGCCTCTAGCCAACAGCCAACACCCCTGCCATCTGAGCTGTTTAAACACCGAGTTCTAGGTAAGCATCAAGAGAAGACCAAATCACCATGAGGACACAGGTGGAAGACGAGTGGGGAGGGCTGAGCAGAGCCTGGACATCTGGCAGGTACGAGGGAGGGGAGGCCAGACTCCGCAGTGAGAAAGAGTGGAGACCATTTGCTCAGGGTTCACCTAGGAATCGGCAGAGGAGAATCAAGGAGTCAAAGACTTTAGCCCTGTCAGCTGCCATGCCTCGAGGAGACATCTGAGAGAAACTGAACACCCAGGATTAAATATGGGCTGCCATCAGCGGCACATGTGGACAGGTGGCTGTGCAGGGCTCAGAAGCAGCCTTGGGGTGGCAGGCTTACAGCTGTGTCCCTGTGTCACACTGTTACATCAATTGGCAATTTCTCATCCGGATGCCTTTCTGTAACTCAAGAGAACTTTCTCTGTGTCCTAGGATAGTTTCTATCTCAGCAATTCCGGGTTGCTTGGATAGTAGAAGAGTTAAAAGAGAGGAAATGTGGGTGCTGAAATAAATATGGATGAGAAAAGAAATATAAGGTAATTCAACATGAATTTTTTTTTTTTTTTTTTTTAACTGAACTGGAAAAAGCAAAAACACTGACACATTCTCAAAATATCAAAATGGTTTCAAAATGAAAAAAAAAAAACCATGGGGCTATTTGAAACTTGGCCCATGATTTCTGTTTTGAGATGAAAATCAGAGCTCTTCCCCAGGCCAGTCCCCACCCTAATATGACCGCTTTCCCCCAGGAGTGGGTACTCACAAGCCAGTGAGCAGGTCCGTTTCTACAAGGGTGTCCTGGGTGACCACTAGGCTGTTAGCCCCTTCGGCCAGGACCTGCCGGATAAGGTCTTCATCTGGAGAGTACAGGAGATGTTAGGGTGGCCCAGCAACACAGGAGCTCTGGACTCCTAAGTGTGGAGTCTCCCTTCTTCCCCACCCTAGCTCACCTGATGCTGAGAAGTATTTGGCAGGTGAGGAGGGGCTAACCAGAGAGAGGCTGTCCTCCTCTGAGCCCAGCCCTCGGCCTGTCCGGCCCCTTGCCAGCCGCTGCAGGGTGCTGCCCACAATGGATGGGTCGCTGAGCAGGTCTGGCCAACTGAGTGTGCCTTCACTGGAGGGCCAACACACGAGGCTGTGGGTGACACAGGTAAGCACATCTTTACAAACACCTGATTCAAGTCTGGTCACACACACCCGTTGTAAGCAGTGCACCAGAGACACATAGGGCTTCTGAGCCAAGACAGTGTATGGCAACAAAGACACAGGCAGCCTGACTTCCCACAACATGGCCTGCTAGGCACAGAACTATGTACTATACATCTGATCTCCCTAGGCAACCTACCTTTTAGAATCATCCAGAAATAAGTCACTTTTCACTTGTCCTGCGAAGGCCTGTTGGGAAGTGCAGAGCATCCTCAGTGAGAACCCTCAGAGGCAGAGGACCTGCCTTCTCAGGCAGGGCCTAGGTCCGCCCCAGCCTCCACCTGCAGCACCCTCACCTCAGTTCGGAGGCCCGACAATGTGAGGAAGGAGCTGTCCAGCACAGATGAATCCAAACAGCTATCCAGCTCCAGTGCCTGCTGCCCTGTGGGGTTGGGGCTCGGGCCACCAGCCACCTGAAGAGAGAAAATGGTGTGTTAGTGGAGGCAGCTGGCCCTGCTCAGGGAGGCATAAGAAACTAACTTCTGAGCAGACATGATAGCCTGGACCAGTTCTGATAATATTCGAGATTGATGCCAGATGTGGTGGTGCACACCTGTAATCCCAGCACTTGGGAGGCTGAGGCAGGAGGATCGTTGTGAGTTTGAGGCCAGCCTGGGCTACAAGTGAGCTCAAGGTCAGCCTGAACTGCATAGCAAGACCCTGTCTCAAAAAAAAAAAAAAAAAAAATCCTAGATTGATGGGCATGTTTCAGGTTTGTGCTATCATGATATCCTGACCACATGTTGTTTTTATGTGTGTGCTACTAGGGGTGGAACCCAGGACCTCATGCATGCCCAGCAAGCTCCACCACTGAGCACTTGCTGTGCTCCCCACATATTGTTCATATGTGACTGGTGCAACTAAAGAAATGATCCTTTATACAACAGAAATAGTGGTATAGCTCAGTGGCAGAGCACTTGCCTCATGTGTACAAGGCCCTAGATTCCATCCCCAAGACTGCTAAGAAAAGTAAGAAAGAAATGAACCTTTGCTTTTACTTAATTTAAATGATGTAAACAAGCCACATGCCTCATAGTTTACTGGGTCCCTGGGCTAAATCCCTCTTGGTTATGGTAGATAATCCTTTCTTACAAGCTGTGGGACTTGCTTTATTAGTGAAATGTTGAGGACTTAAGATACACATGTATGGGATACGAGGGCAATCTGGCTGCAATATCTGTCACCCCACTGATCACCAAGGTTGATTCGGCTAGGCGCGTGTCCCCTTTCTCAAAGTTCCATGTGCGTACCTCCTGAAGCTGCACACTGGGTCAAAGAGGATGACCTCCCTGATAATGAAGGACTGTTTGCTGGTCCAAAGTATAGGAGTAGCTGTGCTCCCCTGCTAGAACCTCCAAACAAGCTCTCAAGATACACACACACACACACACACACACACACACACACACACACACACACACATTTTGACACAGAGGCTACATAGTTCAGGCTGGTCTTAAACTCACTATATACCCTAGGCTGACCTCAAATTCACAGTGATCCTTCTGCCTCGGCCTCCCAAGTGCTGAGGGATTACAGATGTGAGTCACCATGCCAGGCTTGGGCATGTATATTCATAAGGGACATCAGTCTATTTCCTTTCTTATGATGTCCTTGTTGGGCTTTGGGGTCAGGATAGTGCTGGCCTCATGGAAAAATTAGGAAAAATTCTTTCCTCTTATAGATGTAGTTTTTATTTTTGCAGTACTGGGGATTGAATCCAGGCCTTCATACTGAGCTACATCCCCAGCCCTTTTAAAAATTTTTTAACATTTTATAGCTGGGCATGGTAGCTCATGCCTGGCACTTGGGAGACTGAGGCAGGAGAATCACCACATTTCAAGGCCAGCCTGGGCTACAAAGTGAGTTCAAGGCCAGTCTGAACTGCATTACTGAAACCCTGTCTCAAAATTTAAAAATAAATGAATAAATAAATTTTTAAAATGTTTGAGACATGGTCTTACAAAAGTTGCTAAATTTCCTACACGGCTTAATTTTCAATGCTCCTGCCTCAGCCTCTCAGATGCTGATAAGTATGTGCCAGCACATGTCTTCCCCTTGTATATGCTGGAAGACTTTGTGAAGGACTAGTGTTAATCTTTAACTGTTTAACTCACTACTGAAGCTCTCTGGGCCTGACTTTTCTTTGCGGGAGGTTTTTACATTACTAATTGAATCTCTTGCTTTACATCTTGGATCATCTATTTCTTCTTGAGCTGGTCTTCGTGGTTTGTGTCTGTTTCTGCTAAGTTACCTAACACGTTGGCACACAGTTGCTCACGATATTCCCTTCTACACCCCATCAGTTTAAGGCTGGCAATGATGTCCCCTTTCATTTCTGATTTTCACAATCTGAGTTTTCTCAATCTACCCAAAGGTTTGCCAATTTTGTGCACCTTTTCAAAGAATCAGCTTTTGGTTTGTTGATTTTTCCCTTTGGGTACAATGCCAAACAGCACAGTTATTAGCTGGATGACAAGGCCTACACTCTACTCCTGTCCCAACCCACCTTGCTCCGGGACATCCGGAAGAGGAACAGGATGGCCAAGTAGACAGGGTAGACAACCACACTGGACACTAGGCCAATGACAACTGTGTCGATACTTGGTGGGATCAGACTGGACACAGGCCCCATGCTGTGTGGCAGGAGACAGATGCAGGCCAGGTTTAGCTGGGAGGCCAGGAAGAGCTGGGCAAGGGGAGGCCACCTACCTTGACCCCATAGGCACCTACCTGTAGGTGGCATCTCCCACGACCCCATACCACACGGCATTGGCCCCCAGGAAGAGGCAGATGAGGAGGACACAGCAGGTGGCCCTCTGCACACGAGTAAAGCGACTGCGAGCTGGCCGGTCCCATATGGATAGCCAAATGTGCTTGTCAAAGAAACCACGCTGCAGTTCGGCCACTAGGAGGCGCTGGAACTGCCATAGGGCTGCATCGCCTAGGAGGAGGGCAGGGAGAGGCTGCAGGAGGCCCAGGGCAGGGCACCCTCCACTACATCCTTACCCCTACTCCCTGGGCCTTACTTGCAGCCAGCACCTCCTTCTCCACTAGGCCACCATTGGCCTCTGTCTCCACAGACAGCCAATCGTTGACCAAGAAGAAGGTGCTGTGGGCATTCTGCAGGTCCCTGACGATGACATGCTGCAGAAACCAGGCGGGGCTGAGCCCTGTGGAGGTGGTGGTGGAATGAGGACCAGGGAGCTGGCAGGGGGTGGAGGGAGGACACAGGGGGTGGAGGGAGGACACAGGGAGCCAGAGTACCAGCAGGGTGCAGGAATAGCAGCAGCAGCAACACTTGCTCAGACCTTTGTTGTCATGCCACACGCGGATCTTCCACACATTGCCCAGGCTGTGTGGGGTGGCAATCCGGAAGATGTCCAGGCTGTTGCGGTGAAAGGCCCTGTCCCCATCCAGGTGTCTGTGGCCACTCCGGCTGTCTGCTCCATATAGCATGATGCCCACATGGGCTGTGGTACCTGGAGGGCAGAAGGAAGAGAACTCTAGGTGTGCAGCCCCCCTCCTCCAAAACCCAGGCAAGTTATTTCATCTGTGGTCTTAAGCACAGGCAGTCCCTACTCTGCACAGTTCTGATGGATACAAATTTCAGTTTTCCCCTATTTGTTACATAAACACCAATCCAGTATCAACAGCCATAGCTCTGGGTTACCAAGGTGTGCTGTCCGCAGGTGACCTCAAAGTGAAAACCTGGTTGCCATTCCTCAGCCTCTCAGTCACTGTAGGATAAAAGGTGGATCACAGCCAGGGACCAGGCAGTGTAAAATTCACTAGTGAATATGGATTTGTCCACCTATGTGCAACTCTACCACATACAAATCACCAGCTCAACACTTAGGTGGCCTCCTTCTCTCCTGGTGATATATCCACTCTGTTTTTGTGCAAGACAAGGTGTTGCTATGTAACTCAGGCTAGCCTCAAACTCATTATATAGCCCAGGCTGTCTCAAATTTGTGATCCTCTTGTCTTAGCCTCCCGAGTGCTGAGATTACAGGAACGCGTCACCACACCTGGCTGACCCATGTGAGTTTTGAAAAATGGATAATCACTGGGTGTTCTGGCACATGCCTGTAATAGCAGCACTGAGGGAAGCCAAGGAAGGAAGATCAAAAGTTCAAGAACAGCCTGGGCAATTTAGCAAAACTCTGTCTCAAAATAAAAAATAAAAAGGGCTAGGGATTAGCTCAGTGGTAGAGTATGTGCCTAACATGTATGAGGCCCTGGGTTCAAGCCTCAGCAATGCATAAAAGAAACAAAAATGGGAAAAAAGAGAAAAACACTAACACTAGAAGTGAATTAATTAATTAATTAATTAATTAATTAATTAATTAATTTTTTGTCTTTTTGAGACAGGATCTTGCTATGCAGTTCAGGCTGGCCTTGAGCTCACTTGGTAGCCCAGGCTGGTCTCGAACTTGCAATGATCCTCCTGCCTCAGCCTCCTGAGTGCTAGGATTACAGGCGTGCACCACCACACCCAGCTGGAAGTGAATTGTGAATTAAAGCTGGGCACGGTGGCTCATGGTTCTAATCCTAGCACCTGGGAGGCTGTGGCAGGAGGAGCTCCATAGGTTGAGGGCCAGCCTGGGCTACATAGTGAGTTCAAGGCCAGCCCTTGTACTACATAGGGAAACTCTGTCTCAAAAAACAAACAAACAACAACAACAACAACAACAACAAAAAACCACATTTTTTTTTACAAAAAAGGATAAATGGAGTTGCTGAAGGGATGGCTACGGGGACGCTGCACTGGCCCATCTAAGATTGGACAGGGCAGTGTGAAATGCACTAGCAAATATGGACTTATCCATGTGTGATGTTCATTCTTTACTGTCAACTTGACTGGCTTGAGAGATGCCTAGAAGATTAGTAAGGCACACTTCTGGGTGTATCTGTGTAGTCGTGAGTGCAGACTCTGGGAAATGTATCAGTCCGTGGCCCTTTCCTCTCTGGCTCCTCTTGCTGTTGCTGCCCAGACATGATGGGCTGAGCAGCTGTCCTCCCCCAGTGCCCTTCCACCATGGTGTTTCTGCCTTGGAGCCAACTGACATGGACTGAAACCATGATCCAAATTAAATCTCGCCTCCTGTAAGTTGTGTATGCCAGGTATCTTATCCCAGCAATGGAGTGCTGACAGACAGCACATAAACAAGAGATGCAATCACCACAAAGGAGGTGTGTTGCAGGAGAATGCGATATTCTCTAAGAACTCTCAAGAGTTCTTTTCATAATATTGAAAGCATGAAGGGAAATGTTAGAAGTCAGTGCAAACTTTGAACATGACACCTGCAACAGCACAGAAGGATGTTCATTCTGTACCCTTGGTCACACAGGAAGGTGAAGGAGAAGGAAACTGCTCAAACAGTTTTCCAAAGGGAAACAAGGCACTTAACTGCCAGTTTCTAACATTTTAAATTATGGTGCACTAAGAAAACATCAGTACATTTCCCTGTACATTTATGAACAACAGCAAGAGTTTTCTGATGTTCACAAATAAATTTCAGAGGTCACAGAACACTCCTCATTCCCCCACTGCACAGGCTAGCAGTTTGTGCCTTCACAAACTTGGAGGCTCACACCACTGCGCAGAGCTAGGCCTGCCGGTGGTGACCAGTGCCCACTTCCTGCTGAGAGCTGTTCTCTTTCTTGGGAATGACCCCATATCCATTTCAAGGATTCACAACATAACCCTTTACACAGCACTTGGGAAAGCAGTTTTGCTTTAAGACACCTATCACTGTAACCACCATGAGAAAAACCAGCCAGACAGAGACCAGGACTGCAACTGGGGGACCCCAGGTGGATATCATTGTCTCCCACCCACAGTCACCTCCCCTCACCTGAACCTCGGCCCCAGCCAGTCTTGACCAGGATCTCATACTTGAAGCGGCCCCCCTTCCCGCAGAAAGGGATGACGCGGGCCCAGCTGACATCGAGCTGGTCCAGCCTGCGCAGGATCACAGCCATGATGGTGTAGGTTACAAGGCACATGGCACATGTCAGGAGCACGATGTAATTCACACGAGCAGCTGGCTCCTGGGAAGACAAAGCCAGCCGGCCCAGGAGGTTCACTCGAATGCTTCACCTTCTGAGGACGGAGCTGGAGCCCACCCAGGCACTCTCAACCCTGTGAAGAGACTGAAAATCAGGGCCCCACTCACAGGGAAGATGAAGTGGATATGGCTGGGTGGCACAAAGAGGCTGGCACCAAAGGCAGTGAGGTGACGAGTGAGGCAGACGGCCTGGCTGGGTGAAGTGTCCTCCAGGGGCACAAGCCCCTCTGTCCTCCACATCATCTCCTCCTCGCTGAAGTACTGGCACAGGGATGTATACAGGCCCACGGACACCTCCAGTGCTGACCAGTGGAAGTGGCTAGTCAGGTTCAGGTGGTAACTCCCACCTGGGTATCCAGTCCTGCCAGGGACAGGGCAGTGTCATAGCCAGACTCTGCTGGGTCCAGAGCCCCAACTCCAGCCAGGGAGTGTTCTAGCCTTAGCTGCAATACCTGGCTGATTCCCCAGCCTTCTGCTACCACTCTTTCTCAGAGCCCACATGTTCGTAGGCACACAGACCAAACCACTTTCACCTGCCACAGCCCACTCCCAGGTCCTGTAGTAGGAGGAAGGTGCTCACCCTGGGGCGATGAAGAAGGTGTAGGGCCTGTGGTCGGTACCGGTGAGCATCTCCAGGCTGATCTTCTTGCTGGCCGAGCAGTTGTACTCATTGGGCTGGGGTGCTGAGTGCAGGTAGACAGCCAGGTAGGGCTCAGGTTCCTCAGACAGGTAGCGCTCTGCAGGCAGAACAGTGTCGGACATCCACCCAGGGACACCCTGGGAACCCTCCACCAAAGGGCCTGGGAGCCTCCATACTGGACAAAGCATGTGCTGTCCTTGGCCCCAACTGCCCTCCAGACAGGCCCCCAGGACCCACATGGCAGAAGGCAGATTTCAGCAACCACAGTTGTGGACACCTGCGTGACACCCACCACTGAGCACCGTGTAGGTGAGCTGCAGGTGCAACCCTGCTGCGGGGTTGCTGTTGTCCGGGGTGACCACAGCACTGACAGAGGCCTGGGGCTGGACGACAGCCGACCCCACATGGGCGTGGAGACCCTGGGCAGCCTGGTCCGAGTTGTTGGGCACCTTCACGGTGATGGCACGCTCTTTCGCCAGTTGCTCTATGGGGATCTGGGTGCCAGCCTGTGTCTGGAAAGCCATGGATGCCACCTTGGTAGAGACAGTGTAATTGCTGATGTAGCCAAAGGGAAAAGGATTGGAGTCCACCAGGAAGATGAGCTGTACCACATCACTGATGTTGGACAGGGCTCCACTGAAGGCCTCGGGGATGGAGAAATGGCAGCCGGAGCTTGAGGCATTGCCATAGCACAGCAGGTTGCGTGGGTCTGAGCGCTTGCCCTGTGCCACGATCTCTTCACCCGCCAGGGTCAGAGGCTCCTCATTGAGCACACGGGAACGCATAAGAATACACATGAGGGCTGATGAGAGGTTGTAGGCCTTAGACGCCACCATCAATGAGGGCGACGCAGTCCCTAGTCCTGAGGGCTGTGGGCTCTGTATGTCTGAGCTGGCCAGGTGGATGAGGTCACCTGCAGACAAATACAGGAGGCTGGCACACTGAATGAGGAGGCTAGAGGAGAGGCCAAGGGGGAGGCAGGCGAGGGGATACAAGTCCACACCTGTGATGTTGAGGATGCTGTCAGCGATGGTGGTGGGTGTCACAGTGCCCTGGGTGGTCTCAGCCTGCAGGATGCGCATCATGCCCTCCAGCTTGTGCAGCGTCTGTTTCAGGCACGAGTGGCACACAAGCTCTCTGCTGGACACCTGCATGGGGCCCACACAGTGTTCAAACCCACCCCACACACACGGTCCCACAGTGCCTGCTTCCCCTGCCCCACTTGGCTGACTCTGCCCCCATGGCTACCAGGATGCCAGGCAGCCTCTCTGCCTCCAAACACTGCTGTGCTAGGCACTGCCCGTGTGAGGCCGCCCAGGCCCTCCCTGCTGAAAGCACTAAGGTGGTTGCTCTTGACCCATGGGGAACATCTCAACTCTGGTACCTAAGCATGTTTTTTCACACAACTAAGAGCAAAGCAGACACCAAGGCCCAGGCTTGAGTCTAAATTCAGCCATGCAGTAAAAGGGCAACCTTGACCTGCACTCTAGTCCCGTTTCCTCCAAGGACCTGGCCTTGCTCTTAAGTCCCTGTACTGATCCCCTCTCCACCCTCAGCACAGCAACTCCCCATCAGACTCACTCTATCCAACTGACAAGTCCAGAACACAAGCAGTGGACAGCTGGGGTGGACAAGTCACACCTGGTATGCCAGGTATGTGGGATGTGAACACAGGCCCAAGGGAAGGCACATAGCAGGATCTCTGTTGGCCCGTCCCTGTGCCTTTACCTGTGGCGTTCCTTCTGCCCTGGGTCACCCCACAGGGTCACTAAGTGGAGACTGTGGGCTCATGCTGGGAAAAGGCAAGAGAACAATGGCAGGGGAGGACACCTAATCCCTGTAGCCAACAACTGCCATGGGCCTGGGATTTGGAGGGCATCCCATGCCTGGCTGTCCTACCATGCACTGGGCCAGCGCAGCAGTGATCTGCTGGATGTCATCCACAGTGTTGACCCGCAAGGAAACCAGGGTTTCTGTGATGTTCTTGCGCATCTGGGCCCGCAGCTGCTGCTCAGAATCAGGCTCTGTGGCCACATCTGGGGCCTGCTCATACTGGGGTGGGTGGTGAGTACAAGATCTGTTAGTGGGTACCCCAAATGCAGGTACACATGGCTACATGCTGGCTACTGCACGGTGCAGGCAGGGACTCAAAATCCTGAATGGTTTCCTTGACAGCAAAGTAGGGAATACACAGGACCCCCTGTGGGCTCAAGAGCATCAGGAGGACTCTGGCATTAGGTAGGACCCAGCCATGTGGAGGCTGCTGAGGGGTGAGGTCCTTGTTTCAGGGACATCAGGGGTTTTGCTTGTGTGGGCCTGGGAATGACGCTTTTGGGAGACTGTCAGGAGTACTGGTCTCAGCTCTCTAAGGAGCACACTTAGGATCCCTCTCTGCCCACTCCCACTGACCTCATTGAGCACAGTGATAAGGGCCAGTGAGTATTCAATGACGTGCTGGGGATCAGCCTGTCTCAGAAGCCCAGGCAACACACTGGCGGTCAGGCTGTGCAGCCAGGGAGTAAGTCCCATGGAGCTATTGGGCTCCGGCAGGACAATGGCCAGAGACCTGCAGGGCAGAGGTTGGCTGTAAGCAGCAGTGAGTTGCCACAACCCCACCCCCACCCCTAGGGCCTAGCTCACCTGTTGAGGGCAACCACTGCAGCACCCAACTGATCCTGCACAACAACAGCCAGTCCCACCTCAAAGCTAGGCTGGAATCCTGGGGGCAGCACAGCAGCATAGGTGGAGAGGCTACCCTTGTAAATGCAGAACTCCTCACAGTGGCCCCGGCGACAGCGCCGCAGCAGCAGGGCATACACCAGCGGGGCACTCGCATCCTCTGCATCCTGCCAGCCTGTGTGTGGGTGTACAGCTTTAGCATGGCTCTGGCCCCTGCCAGCTGCCTCACCCCTCAACAGGCCCATACTTACCCACACATTCAAAGTGCACCTTGGTGGTGAGGGCGCACACTGCATCCAGCGGGAAGAGGCGACACGCACCCCCCAGCGGAGGGCGGTTGGGGGAGAGGCGGATGGAGGCACAGCCTTCCTCCTTGCCCGAATGGCCTAGAACTGTGAGTGTGAAGATGTAGCCCTCACCATCCCGCAGCACACCGCGCCGCACCACTAGCCGCATGCCTGAGCTGCCTGTGGATGTGGTAGTCTCATCCAGCACCAGAGTCTTATTGCTGAAGGTTCGTGCAGCCCAGCGCTGCAAGACAGACAGGAGACGGAGACGCAGTGAGGGCAGCACTGCAGCCACCTGTCCAACCAGGACCAGCCCAGCCTGCCACTCACCCCGTGCTTGGAGCCACTGCTGCAGTTATGGCAGTGGCCCTCCAGGTACACGTAGGAACTGCGGCTCACTTCATATACTGCCTGTGCCTTGCAAGACACGCACTCCAGTGACACAATGGGCACATGACCACTTCGGACCAGCACCTGGAGAGGAGGCAGGTCACAGGGAGGCCATATCCCACTGTGTCAACAGGGTAGGCAGCAGAGGGGTCGGGCCTCTACCCTCCTGAGCACTGTAGCTGCGAACAGTCAAGCCCAGGTTCCCCTGCCAAGTCCAAGGAGGTGTTAGTGGTCTAAAGGGGCAGAAGCCAGCAAGGGTGTCATCTCTAGTATATGACTCTGGTGAGCCTGGCAGCAGGAGACACACAAACCCACTGTTGTGGGATGCAAGACAGATGAGTAAACAAACCAAGGCACCCACGCAAAAGGACGGCAGTCCTCCACAGTGCTATCCCCGCACTTCCAGTTTCCTAGGCAAGGCCTGATTCAACATCTTAGCCCAACTGGACGCTGCTTCCCTAGATGACCTCTCAAGGTGAGCCCTCCTCCCTGGAAGGCCTGCTGAGAAAAGCCTAGTGTTGGGAAGACATCCCTCCTCCCACCCTCAGGGTAGTAGCAGAGCCCAATACATCCCATTGGCAGCACTGTCCTATAGCAGGAGGGGGGCCATCACATGCACAATGGCCCTAACTTTCCTGGCCAGGCCAGGGCAGTGTGAGGGCAAGTGGCATCCCACTCCATTCAGAAATGAGGACACCTATGTTCTGGGGACAGGGATTGCTTCTGCGGTAAGGAACGGACTCAACTTCTCAGTGTTTGCCTTTTATACTGTTGGAGTAATCCCAGCACTTGTGAAAGGCTGAGGTAGGAGGACTGAAAGTTCAAGCCCACCCTGGGCAACTTAGCAATTTAACAAGACCTTGTCTTAAAATTTAAAAAATTTGGGCTAGGGATATAGCTCAGCGGCACAGGACCTGCCTGGTAAGCGCAATGCCCTGAGTTCAATTCCTGGTACAAAAAAAAAAAAAAATTGAAAAAAAATTGAAAAAAAAAATTTAAAAGGCTGAGTGGAAATGTAGGGCCTGGAGGGGGAGAGGGGTAGGGGACAAAAGGGGGAGAGAAGGAGGGGAAAGAATAGATGACCAGAGTTCATAAGGCCCCTATATGACTTAGTATGGAGTTATATCACAGCTTGAAAGGAAGCAATACTAAAGTTGGATATTTTGTACCAAAATCAGCGATAAGAGAACTAATAGCCTCTAGAAGAAGCAGCATAGCCATTGAAAGAAACAGGGCAGAGCTTGGTACTGTTCGGATGCTGTCTGGGCCATGGCCTGCTGGGCTGAGGTATCACTCACCGTCTGGCTGGCAGCCTCCTCCTTCCTGCCTGCTTTCCACACGGTGAGGTTGAAGGTGTACTCTATACCGGCCGCTAGGCGTTCCCTAGGAATGGTGACCACACTGCTCCCGCGGGGCCCAAAGTTCAGGACACACCCACTGGTCTCCATCTGTAGCCCACAAACACAAAAGACAGCTGTGTAAGACTGTGACCAGCCTCAAAGCAGAGCCTGGCCCAGAGAACAGCTCAGGAGACCTTCCCCATGCTGGGTCCCAGCCTCACCTGTGTTGCGGCCACACAGGCCCAGTGGAAGCTAAGTGGTGTCTGGTCATCATCTTCCAGGTTGGGGTCGTAGGACTTGCTCCCATCCAGCACCAGGTCCTGAGTGTCTGACCACACGCGATATGAGCCTCCTTCAATGATAGGCACCAGGCGCTCGGCAGCCACTGTTACATTGGCCTGGATGCTTCGTGCCAAGGGAGTATCCCCAAATGACACCACAAACACAAAGCAATAGTGGCCAACAGGCAATGCCAGCCGTGGAACCACCAGCTGTGGCCGGCTCACATCTACACCAGGCAGGGCCACCCGTGCCACAGGCCCTGGTCGCTGGCAGCTGGCAGTTCGGTACACCTCCCAGCGGTACTCAGTCTGGTAGGTGACACAATCACGCAGATCAACATGAGCCTCCAGGTAGTTACGCTGGGAGCGCCGCATCAATACCTGCAGGGGGAGGGCCACGTCCACCTCAGGCTCCCTGCAAGCTAGCACCTGGACCGTCACTGTGGCTTGTGCCACAAAGAAGCTCACCAGGTTGGAGGCGTTCACCTCCACACGGTAGTCCCCTGGCTGCAAGTAGGAGTGGTCAGCCCAGGGCTCCTCTGTGTCCTGCATTGGGGCCCCATCCCCAAAGTCCCAGCGGTAGGCCACACGCCGGGGACTGGGGCTTGTGGTAGCTTCAAACCGGGCTGAGCGGTTGGCGAAGCAGCGGCCACTGCGTAGCACTACATACTGGATGGCATCTTGAACCTCTACTGTGAGTGTGAGGTTCACACCACCCAGTTCATTAAAGGCACGGACATGGATCTCCAGCAGCCCTGCAGCCACAGGGGTGTAGGTGACATCACGGCCTGAGAGAATGACCAGTGAGTCACCCTGGACCTTCTGCAAGGAGAAGTACCAAGCGTAGGCAACTCGGGAGCCCCGCTGTACCCGAGCTGTGAAGTTCTTCTCAGTACCCGTGACCATGCCCAGCTCACAGCAGTTGGGTACCTGCAGCCCATCGACAGCCTCTAGCACCAAGACACGCACCTGGGCCTGGCCCCGGCTCACATGGTTCTCAGCCTGCACACTCACCACGTGGTCTCCAAGCCAGGAGAAGCTATGGGAGAAATGGGACCCGGGGAGCACCTCAGGGCTGGCCCCGCCAACCTGCAGGTGGAAGGTGACGGCTGAGCCTGCTGCCAGCAAAATCTGAAAGTGGACCAGCTGCCCAGGTGCTACAACCTTGCTGCTGGCCCACAGCACCAGGCCCATGATGGGTTCTTCCACTGTGAGGTTATATGAAGCTGTGACCCAGCTGACCGCGTTGGAGGCATTGAGCTGGATGGAGAAGACCCCAGCATCTGGGAAGCCCACAGCAATATGCTGGCCATACTTGCTGCCACCCGGCACAGCCCAACACCAGCTTACATTGGTACCTGTGGCCAGGTGTCCCCAAAAGGGTACAGTGGAGCCAGCTGCCACAAAGCTGCTGTCTGGTTCATTAGCCCTAATGCTAAGGCCACTCACAGGCACCTGCACAATCACCTCAATGGTAACATTGACTGAACCCAGCTGGTTCCCAGCTGTAATCCTGACCAGATGCAGGCCAGATGTGGAAAAGGCATGGATGGTGAACGGTTCAGAAGTCTCCAAACTTAGCCCTTCCTCCAAGGACCAAGTATAAATCACACCACTGCCACCTGCCAGCTCAGCACCAAAGGTGATCCTCGCATTGACAGCAGCTGGGTTGGGAGAGGCAGCCACAGTCAGAAACCCCACAGGTTCCACAAAGTCTATGGTGCGGTTGGCTGAGGCACTTCCCAGCATATTGGTGGCTCGCAGATGGATGTGATAGGTGCCAGCCTCAAGCACGGTGAGTGAGAAGCTCTTGCCACTACCTACTAGGGCCAGGCTGCCATTGCTCTGGGCAGTCCAGCTGTAGGAAATGTTAGTGCCGTCCCGGACCACAGCCTGCAGCTGCAGTGTGTGGTTGGTAGGAAAGCAGCAGCTGCTGCCACCACCTGCCACCTGCAGGCCCTCAATGAGCTGCAGGACATAGATGAAGATGCTGTCCTGGGCTGTGCTCACCTCGTTCTCAGCTGTCACGATGATGTTGAAGGTACCCACTGAGCGGAAGGTGTAGGAGATGGTGGGGCCCCCAGGGATGGGTGTGCAGCGGTCACACAGTACCCAGGAGTAGTGCACATCACTACCTGCCTCCAGGGTGGTGCTGAAACTCACACTGCCATTCAGAGGCACCACCACACGGCTGGCATTGATGCTCAGCCCCTGGATGCGCCGCTTCACTGTGACATTGAGCCACGCCTCACTGTGGCTCACCTCATTCCAGCCCAATACCCTGATAGTAAAGTCACCTGTGCTGTTGTAGACATGGGTGACCTCAGAGCCCACAAGCTGTGTGCCATCCCCCAGCTCCCACAGGTAGGTGGCAGGGTGCCCACGACCCATGGCAGAGAATAGGTAGGGCTGCTGCAGCACCAGCACATGAGAGGAATTGACTCTGATGCCAGTGACTACCATGGGCTCCTGTACTTCCAAAAGAGCAGAGTCATTGATAGCAGAGACATTATTGGACACAGTGACTGTCACCAAATAGGAGCCCGGGTCTCGGTAGATCACTGTTGCCTCAGGGCCCCAAGCATGGGTGGGGACAGTGTCTTCAATGCCAAAGTCCCACGTGTATCGGTAGGGGAAAGGGGGCCAGGTGCAGGCCACCAGCCGGGCTTCATCCCCAAGCTGCACAAACTGCTGCTCGGGCCGCAGAGTGACATTCTCCACCTCGGGCTCTACACAAACACTGGTAAAGTAATGTGCCTTGTTCACATGGCTTGACAGGATCAACGCCAGGGGGAATATGCCACTTCTTGTAAAGTTATGTGTCACTGTTGGGTGCCCCTTAACAGTCGTGTTAGAGGAGCCATCCCCAAAGGTCCAGTCAAAGAGGTAGTTGGCAGGGTCCCCAGCAACATGGGCTGTCAGTTGGGCATCAGGCTGGGTGGAGATGCAGGTGGCAGGCTCAATACGCAGTACCTCCAGGACAAAAACACGCACAGGTAGGCTTTGAGTCAGGTGGCCCACAGGGCTGGCTGCGCCCACTGTTACCGTACAGTTCTGTGCCCGTAGATACACGTGCTGCACTGTAGTCTCGGAGCCGATGAACACCGTGCCGTCCCCCATGTCAAACGTCCATGTGACATTGTCACCTGTCTCCACAGTAGCACTGACCACCACAGGAGCTCCCTGCTCCACAGCTGGGTCCAGTCGCACACTTAGCCCACTTAGCTCCTGGAAGACGTGGACATCTGTGTGCGCTACCACACTGCTCACCGTGTTGTTGACCTCCAGGCAGACATGGTAGGTGCCTGTCCTGGTGTAGGTGTAATTCACCGCTGGTTCGCTCTGTATCAGGATAGGGGAGCCATCTCCGAAGTCCCACGTGTATAGGACACCACCAGGCAAAGGCAGCGGATGCAGTGAAAAGGTGACAGGCCAGCCAGCCACCAGGGTGCTGCTGCTCACACTTATGGCCACAGCTGGCAGTGTGTCACGTACACTCACAGGCACTTGCTGTGTCAGGTTCTCGAAGGTGTTGGACACGAGGACGGTCAGGTTGTACTCACCTGCAGGGAGAGGCCTGAGTGGGGCTCCTGATGGCTAAATTCCCACCTAGCACCTCATGTTTCATGAGGCAGCCTCCTCAAAGCATGAACAGCTATCCCTTTGGACATGTGTATAGGACAGAGGTTTAAGAGGCCGAGGTAAAGGTAAAAGGGTGAGGACAGGACCAAGCACCTCCAAGCCCAACTGCGTGTACGTAAAGAAGGTAGGCGGTACATGGGAAGTGGGGAAGGGGTGGACAGGGAGTGACCTGCATCATAGGCCACTGGGGAGACATTACTATATGAGACTTCTAGAATTTTAAAAGTAATTAAACAAACAAAAAAAAAGTAATTAAACAGTGGTCCCACTCTGCTCTCCAAAAAAGAGAATAGAGAACAAGAGGGCCCAATTTCTTGAATATTTGAATCCTGGCCTCAGGAATGCTGCCTAGGCCCCACACCTTAGGCCCAGGTATCCCTCCTTCACCCCAGTAAGGTCCCCCCACGCCATCAACCCAGCAAGAGGGAACACCCCTTTGGGGGCCATCCCTAGGAAAGGACTGTCTGCACAGGACCAGCAGGGCAACAGATCTGCCCCTCACCTGAGTTGGCGTAGGTATGCGTGGCATTATGTTCCACCAACACCTGGGCTACAGTGGGGTCCGGGACCTGGAAGGACTTGTTGTATGGAGGCTTGAACTGGCCGAGCACCTGCTGACCATCCCCAAAGGTCCACCTGCCAGGGTAATGGGCAGGTGATAAGAACAGGCAGGGACAGGTGGTCAAGGCTGGCCACAGCAGCAACCTTCCCCTGCAGTCACTACTCCTTCCTGGCACCTTTGTCAAAGATAGGGTCCAACTCTGCTCCACTAGTCTCCCACACCTTCCCATAGATCCTCACAGAATTCTGTACACCAATACCCTGACAGAGGATGAAACCGAGGCCTAAAGAAGCAACACTTTGATACCTAGAATGAGCCCCCACCATGACCCCAAAAGCTGGCTGCCCACTACTAGGCCCAGGGAACTCACAGGAAAGCCACTTCCACAGCTGAGTCTACCAGCACCCTGGCCATCAGTGCCAGCGTGGTGTTGGGGGCCAGCACAGCTGGCACTGCTGACACCAGCAGGCTCCGCATCCTGTTCATGCGCTCCACCGTGACGTTGTAGTTCACAGTGACATTGCTCACATGGTTGGAGGCTGTGAGCTGCAGAGAAACACGTCAGTGCACACGGCCTACAGAACACAGCAAGAACCCCAAACTCCAGCTCAACAGCCTCCCCACATTCACCTAGTCATGGCAGTATGCTCAGAGGCAAAGCAAAACAAAGGAGAACAGAAGGCAAAGATAAGCACCCAGATATCCCAAGACCCCAAGACCTCATCTGCCTGGCCCCCACCGAGAGCTTGAAGATGGCAGCACTCTGGTAGATGACATTGAAGACAACATTGTGGAAGGTCAGGGACTGTTTGTCATCAATGGTCCACCGAAAGACCACGTTGGTGCCGGCCTCCACCATGGGGCTGTACCGCTGTGGAAAGGACATGGCATTGCCCAAAGCTGTGATTCTGGCCTTAGCCCCCATCTGCCCACCTGTACATGCCTCCCCTTGGGCTGCTGGAAAATTCCATGCCTAGTAGACAGAGAGCACATGGGGTCCACTGGCTGAGCTACAATTCCAAGACACCCATGTGGGAGAAGACAAGGAAGTACTCAGGCCTGCCTGGCTTAGGACACTAAGTGTCAGAGGGACTGAGCTTGGACCTGGGCACTAAGGGCCTGGGCCAAGCCAGCACTCAAACCTCCAGCTGCATGGCCTTGATCATGCCTTAACTCCCCTGTGCCTCAGTTTCCCCACCTGTAAAGCAGACTTAACATTAGCAGCAGAGTCAACCTATGGGTCAACCAGGTCCTCATCAACTCCCATCCCAGAACTCCTGCTAGAGCCCTGAGGTGGACACCTTGGTGTCATGCAGAAAGGTACACAAATCTCAGTGGGCCACATGGTCTTGGGTGATCAATGTCAAATGAAAGATAGATATGTCCTGGGGAAATCAGGAGACACAGCTTTGGGCACACTGCAGTCATGACAGGCCTATCAGGGCCATTACACAGAGGGTAGGCATATAGGCAGGCCTAGAATGAGGCACAAGGTAGCAAGCAGCCTCACATGGGGGCTTCAAATACCACCTCAACAGGCACATGCATAGGCAGATGAGAGAAATGCAGAGGGCCCAAAACACACCTGACTCATGGGGGCTCTGGAGGTAGAGGGCCAAATGTGACAACCTATTTTGGTGGGTAATTTTTGGAATGTGAGGGGAGAAAGAAGGGTTTATGACACAGACGCTGTAGCTGTGTCCTTTTAATAATTTAGAAATTGCTGAATAGGGCTAGGGGTGTACCTCAATGGTAGAGCACCTGCTTAGCTCTGGGCTCAATCTCTAGCATCATGAAAGGAAAAGAAAACAAACAAACTGCTCAGCAGTCTGAGCATTCCTGACAGGAGCTGCTAGAAAACAATGTGCTGACCACTGCCCAACCCCCAGCTGGCCAAGGAGCTTCTACACTGGGGAAGGGGCTCCTTCCATGCATACCTTTGCTGGGGCCAGGGAGGGGGGCTAGGTGACAGGCCACACTCACCACCAAGGCACCCTGTAGTACTCGGGCCTCAGGAACAGGCGTAGCACGGAGACCACGGATGGGCTCTTCTGCCGTCACTCTCAGGGTGAGGTTGGCCTGGCTAGCGCTGTTCTGTACTACAACCTCCACAGCGTGCTCCCCTTGGCTGAGCCCGTGAAGCACCAACACTGAAAACAGGGTGCTGTTGGTCGTGTTGTTGGTCTCTTGGACACAGGTGGGCTTGAGGGCATCCATGGTAGGGCAGGCAGCCTCCAAGGGTGCACTGACATTGCCCCCAGGCCAGTGAGCTGTGGCTGTGGCATTGGCACCTGAGTCCACCTGAAGCACCAAGACCGAGCCACTGGTTGGCATGTAGAGTTGGCCATCAAGGGCAACCGGGTAAATAACCCGGAGCCCAGCCACTGGGGAGACCACGTTGAAGCTGCAGGAAAGGTTGTACGTGGACACACTGTTGCCCACTGTGGCCCGGACCTCATAGCGCCCAGGATGCTTCAGCCCAGGGTTGGACCTTAGACCCAGCAGGGGGCTGAGTTGTTCAGTGGCTGTGACCAGCTGCAGGATACAGGCAGGGCCAGGCCGAGCATCATCCAGCAGGGTGGGCAGGTGGGCTAGCCAGTTAGAGGCATTGGTAGAGAGGTACAGGGTGTTGGGGCCAGCTTGGTTGGGTGCCAGGGGACAGTGCAGTAGGGCACCTGAGCCAGCATCATGCTGCAAACCAATGAGGTCACCAGGGAGCACAGGAACATCCTGGCCATGGAAGGTTACCTATGAGAGAAGGAGGCAGGACTGTGTCATGTCCTGCAGGGGACCACAGGACCAGGGCAAAGATGGGCAGATAGGGTTTCCACTGGGGTGTCAGCACTATTATCCATGTTTCAGAATCCCCACAACCCAGACACACACTGGAGGGACAAAAAGGGCAAGCAGACTAAGGCTACATAACCCCAGAGAGGATACTGTAGACGTGGGCTGCCTCTGGTGGAAAGGCCCTTCTCAGAGAACTCAGAGGCTAGAAAGAAGCCACCATGTTAAGGGAGGGATCCCTCCTTTAGAAGATATAGCAAGCTGGTACTTCTTATATGGGGAGACATGCAAAGGCACTTGGCTGGTAGTGGGCAGGGACATGAAGGAGATGCTGGGCTGTTCAGAGGTATCACGTTCTGTCTGCTTGGTGAAAGGCCAGGACTTCAGGCAGCTGAGGAGAAGGTGGACTAGTGAGCTGCTGGGAAGCAGACAGGCATATTGGGGACACATACCGAGTACTGCGTGGGGGGCCCTGCAGGCACGGAGAAAAGGAACTCTCTCCACAAAGCATAGGTGGCTCTGGGGAGCCCAGGCCCTACCACAGACTCATTGGCACAGGCCCGAAGGTGGCAGGCAGCATCCAGTGGCACACAGAGACTGGCACCAGGACACCAGCATCCCTCTGGCATACACCTAGGGACTGGCTCAGTCCTGTCATCAGGCTCACTTCTATTTCCTGGAACCCCTGCAGGGACAGGATGGACACCAAGCATTCTGGCTTACTAACATGTAAATTAGGGATGCCCATCTACCTACTTCAATACTAGACCTAGCTAGATAGTAGCCCAGGCCCCTCACCTCCTCTGCCACAAGGTCAGCTAATTGACCCAAGGTACCCCCCCATGAAGCAGGCCCCACATAATCTGTACTTAGGACACAGAACAAGTCTCTGTAGACCCCATATCTCTCTTCACCTCTAGGGTAGGGACCAGAAGACCTGAGAACTGGGCCCTCCTAAGCCCCCTGCCTCCCACTGCCATCGCGGAGGCCCACCTGCCCCTCCTGAAGGCCGATACACCTGAAGCCGCAACTGGGCAGGCTCCCCAAGCTCCTGGGTCTCAAACTCGGCTGTAGTGAGGAAGGCTTCGCGGCTTGGGCTCAAGCCAGGGAACACCATGACCTGATGGACAGAGGGCCACTTCAGCTCCACAGAACTCAACCCAGGGCCTAGACACACTGATCCCAAATACCAGGACAGAGGGGAGGAAGGATCTTCCTGAGGCCACTACAGGCATCACTGTATGTCCTTGGGAGGAAAACTCATATCAAAATCATCTGTGAGCAGCATGAGCCCTACTGTGGTTTTTACTTATTTAACTCCTGGTCCCTTGCTACAGTCTTTTTTTTAATTTAATTTTTATTAGTACATGATTGTAATACATAGCGATTAAAGTCATCACGAGCTGTTGGTATATGTATATAACACATCTTAATTATTTTTACATATTTCCTACTGTAGTTTTAAAAATAATTCACTCATCTATGATGAATATGATCATTATGTATATCTAAAATGTACCAATACTAGCTGGGTGTGGTGGCACACACCTGTGATCCCAGCACTTGGGAGGGTGAGGCAGGAGAATCGTTGCAAGTTCAAGACCAGCCTGGGCTACAAAGTGAGCTCAAGGCCAACCTGAACTGCATAACAAGACCCTGTCTCAAAAACACTCAAAAAATAAAATAAAATAAAATAAAATAAAATGTACCAATAAAATCTGATTGAAGAAAAAATTAACTCAAACAAAAAAATCCACAAAAAATTAAATTTAAATTAAAATAATTCACCCAGAACAGTGATGGCAAACCTTTTCGAGTGCCCAAATTGCAACCCAAAACCCACTTATTTATCACAAAGCCCCAACACCACAATTAAACCTGAATACTGACTAGCCATGCAAAAGCTGGGATGAGCTGTGGCTAATGATTTGTGGCTTTGGCATCACAGCCTGGCACTACTACTCCTTCCTGAGCATGTGCATGGCCCCCATGTGCGCCATTAACTGAGGCTCAGCTGCTAGGGCAATGCTGGGGTGAGCTGGCTTGCATGCTGACAAAGAGGGCTCTGAGTGCCTGCTGTGGCACGGGGCATAGGTTCACTACCATGACTCTGAGCAAGGACTAGGAAAGCAGTAGTTCCTCTAGATAAAGGGATTAGATGCTTTTCATCTCTGTGCCACATGGAGTTTCCAAGCTGTCCATGCTGGTCATAAACATGAAGATGACCCCAAAAAAGAATTAAGATGTGCTATATAAGTGTACCTACTCCCTAAAGTGCATATTAACTTCATGTACTACAAGCATATATTAATAAAGTAAAATTAAATTTAAAACAAACAAAAATGGCCCCCCCAAAATCAACTTTTCTTTTCTTTTTTTTTTTTTTTTGAGGCAGGGTCTTGCTTTGTAGCCCAGGCTAGCCTCAGATTCACAGCGATCCTCCTGCCTCAGCCTTCCAAGTATTGGGCACCACCACATCTGGCTGCCAACTTGTTTCTTAAAGACACACAACAGCAGGTAAGACAAGGCCCAGTCGGGGGAGGTTCCCCTCCGGAACACAAGAAGGTCCAGCCTACCTCCACGGGCTGTCGCGGGGACAGGAGGGCTTCCTGTGGTGTCAGCAGAATCAGGGGCCCCTGCAGGCCCCCACCAGGCACTCCCATGAGGAAGTTCTCAGCATCCCACACGAGGCCTGGAGATGGTAATTGTGCAGTGAGTGCCGGTGCCAGGCTAGGGGACCAACAGGGGGACATCCAGGGTGGGGCCAGACCTGAGAATGAGCCCCCTGGCAGCTGCTTCCTGCACCACTCCCTTCATCTTTGTTTCCTCTGGTAGAGTCTCAGCCCAGGCCTAAGAGCAGGTACCCAGCAAACACCTGGCCAACACTATGCAGTGGGAAACGCACCTCCGGGCTGCAGCTCACAGACATAGCTGTGTGGCGCTGAGCACAGGTCTGTGTTGCACTGTCCAGCAGGTCCCAGCCGCACACAGTGCTCGGCCGTGGCTGGATGTGGCTCCCCAGGCAGCCAGTTTTGGCAGCTTTCCAGGTTGAAGGCCTCGCCCTGGGGTGCCAGGCCTGCCTCTGCTCCCTCCACAGCTGAGAAGCCAATCCACACATCCAGGCTCCTGTGGGCAGATGGTAGACAGGCCGAGCCCTCGGGGTATGCTCCCTACAGCACCCTGGCAGGTGGACGCTAGCACCATCATTGTTCTCCAGATGGTAAAACTGAGGCTCAGAGACATGAGCCTCAAAGCAAAGCCCATGGCAGCACCCACCCATGCCCATGAAGTCAGTGTAGCATGGCCAAGGGGTCCACATGAGGCTCTGCCTCAGATGTGAGGCCATGGGCCACTCACATCTTGTCCTACAGATGCAGCATTTAGGGACCAAAACAGACTCACATCAGACCCCAAATAGTCTGACAGTGCTGCCAGGGTAGGAAGCCCTTCCTAGAGACAGGGCTCGTGGAACACGTATGTGCTCTGGTATAGGAAAAGGAGTAAACACATGGGAGGGAAGGAGCTGAGCTGGGCCCCAGATGCCTGCCTGGAAAAGGGCTTTTGCCACCTTGGGCCTTAATCACATCTGGGCACTGGGGATATGCAGACAACAACAGGAATTCACCCTTGCCTGGCACATGGATACCCAGGAGGGGGCATAGAGCCTCACCTCCCACATCAGGTACAGTGTACCCTAGGGCCACAGAACAAGAGTCTGGCCCACTACTACTGGGAGGCACCATGTCCCCACAAGCATCCACCATGCTCTCCAGGAGGTGGGTGGTATATGGCAGCCCTCTCCCTCTCTAGGGAGGGAGCAGGCACAGAATACAGAACCTCCAAGGTGTCCCAGAACCAGCCCAGTCAGGAAGGCCTAGAGTCTTCCCCTGCAGGACAGGACAGATGGGAGCCTGGGCCCAGCCCTCACTATGACACATGCCACAAGTGTTTACAGAAGCTGCTCTAGCCCATGTCCACATCTATACCTGTAGACAGCCATCCATGTCTAGCAATCTTGTACCTGTAGACAAGATCTCCCCAAGCCTCCCCATCTCGACTTGGCTTCTGCCCACACCCCCATCCTGACAATCCCACCCTTCTGTGGCCCAGGGTGGTGAGAGGCAGGCACCTGGTAACCTGGGAGACCAGGAAGTGCTGGATTGCAGGACTGTCCACCATGGCCAGGGCGGCCCCAGCCCAGGCCCGGCACCGCTCCTGCGCCTGCAGCCAGGATGCCTTCTCTGCCACCAGGCGGTAGCAGTGCCCATTGCCAGGGAAGATCTCCGTGTCCGAGGGGCAGAGTGGGTGCACCACTGGGGAATGGTGGGCAGAGATCAGGCATCAACGTGTGCCCATGACCGAACAGTGGGCTCTGTCCCAACCCCAGCCTTGCAGGGGAGGGTAGGCAGGAGTGGTGACCAGGGCCCAGCTGGGGAGGTACCTACCTTGGACTGGCTCCTCACCCAAGGCTAGGATGCTATAGGTAGCCTCAAGGTCTGAGCCTCCACGGTTCCGGATACCCAATTCAAGGCTCTCGTCTCTGTGCACAGAGGATGGGCACACAAGCTCCAGGGCAGCAGGTGCCACCTCTACTTGCACCTCTGTCTCCAGTGTGGCTGATCCATCCCCCAAAGCCAGTACTGCTGTCACATGATAGTGCCCAGGCAGCACATAGCGGTGGGTGGCAGCAGGACCAGTCATGTCCAGCTTCGGCGAGCCATCGCCAAAGTCCCAGCATATAGTGCTGAGAGGCAGGGAGATGGTGGTGATGTGAAAGGCTGCTGGCTGGCCAGAGGCCAGGGGTCCATGGGGCCCCACCAGGGTGGCCCCTGGAGAAGAAGGGAAGACATGCTGGAGGAAGGTGGGGCCCCGGCAGGCAGGGGTGGGTGGCCGGGGGCTGGAACACAGGGACAGGCAGGCCATTGAGGTGTTGAGGGTCTGAGCTGCCCCACATAAACACTGGCCCTGCTCCAAGAGGGCTGCTAGGCCCTGGCCACCTAAAAAGCAGAAGGTACTGCAGGCCTCAGGTGCCAGTGGGCCCTTGTGAGCAGTGGAGAAGACCACCAGCACCATGTTGTCTGAGCTGTTGTCAGGGAAGCAGGCAACATACTCCTCATCTGGAACAGACAGACATACTAGTTGTAGGAGCCCATCTCCTCCTCTTGGCTTCATCCCTGCCCTCCACCTCTGCCCGTAGATCAGAACCCCAGAGCCCCAAATGTTCCAGAGGGACGATATGCATCTTTCTCTGGGGCCCTCTGCTGCTACAGAAAGGGCTGCAGCTCCTCCTGACCTAGGTCCTGGCAAGGAGGACAGAGCCATTCCACATATGGCCCACACTCACCACAGCTGCTGTCTACCAAGGAGAGACCAAGGAGGGGCTGGCCAGCCAGGGGGCCAGGCCCTGTGCATGTGGTCTCCTCTGGCTGTACCACATGAACCTGCTGCTCCTCTGCCCAGCGCCTCAGCCACATTAGACCACAGTCACACTCAAATGGGTTTCTGCTCAGGTTTCTGCAGGGGAACAGGTATAGGGGACCAGGCTGAGAGGGGGCAGCTCTGACAGAAGGGTCCATTCTGCCCTCCAATGGGCCTGCAAACTGTTCTCAAATTTGGGAGGCGCCAGAGGCCCAATTAGGAGGGCAGAGGGGATGTTCGGGGACAGATTGTATAGCCACTGACACCATCAAAGGCAAAGAAACTTACATTTCACTTAAATTAAATAAATTAGCAAATATTCCTTCTTCTAACGTAGAAATCCTATTGTTGCTTATGTCCCTGGAAGACAGAAGGGATTAGGGAATGACAGGAACGCTTGTGAGATTACGATGACAGGCAACCGCCACTCGCCCACTCTGAGTAATCCCCACCATGCTGGAGAGGTCAGGCACTGCCAAGGAGGGGACACTCACAGCTCCACCAGCGCTGACAGGTTTGCCAGGAACCCGACGTCCAGTGTCTGGAGCAAGTTGTGGGAGACATCTCTGAGGAACAGGGCAGCTGCAGTTCAGTGCAGGAGCTCCAGGCTGGCCACAGAGCCATACCTGATTCCGCACTTAGGGGTGTAATAGCATACCCAAGCTGCAGCTTCCCAGCCCATAGACTCTGAGTTCCCCATTTCCAAGGTCTGGGAAGGGCTTTTTCTCATGGAGGATCTCAATGAACACTCATCTGGGGAAACTGAGGCAAGGTAAGTTGGGGCCCTCAGTGGTCTGCACCCATCTCAGCCCTGTGCAAAGTGCCACAGTACACAGCCACAGAGAACTATTGCATGAGCATGGCCTTGATGGGCACAGTCCTTTCTGCCTAGTCCCACTCCCACAAGGCCAAGGCCCCACACCAACCCTCTGCCCTACCCTAGCAGGATGGTCTCACACCACCACATGGGGTTCAGAATGCACCAGGGCTTCCAGGGCCCCATTGCTACTATCCACTGGTAGAGGGAAGACATCAGAATGTTCCCAAGACACAGTGGGGGCAAAAAGGTAAGATAAATAGGGAGAAGGACCCTGGTGGATGAGCCCACATCACAGTGATGGTGATGATCTACAACAAACTTCAAGTCCAACACAATGAATTACAAACTCCACTGGGCATACTAATACAGGCCTGTAATCCCAGCACTCAAATCTGAAGCAAGAGCTTCAGAAATTTCAGGCCAGCCTGGACAACACAGAAAAACCCTGCCTCAAAACCCAAAAGTATTCTGAGTAACCAATTTGAAGATATCAACATGTAATACAACAACCATTGTTAATTTCCTATCACTTTGTCTGAAATTCTGTATTACTTGTACTGTTTATGAGTTATTTTGAAAATGTATGTGTTTGTTAATATGTTCTCATTCTTTTATCTTTAAAATAAAAAAATAAAAAACCCAAAAGTAAAAAATGAAAACCTTTACTGCATCTAAAAGATAATACAAAGGTTTATCTGGATCCAGCTATGAGAAGAATCATCAAGAAACATGGAAATATGAATTTGTGCTCCTTCCCACTGTGCCTTGCCCCCAACACAGAGGAAAAGGAGTTACAACAAGCCTCTGGCTTTCACAAACCTGCAAGTGGTAAACAAGTCATAAGCAACCACAGTGTGGGCACCAGAGCCAGAGCACACCTTCACAACTCAAAACAACAGAACCTAAGTGAGCCAGGACACACCAACCAAGACCAATGGAAAGAGTCACATGTTTCCAGAGCATGAACCTAAGCGCAGAAACAAAGCATCAAGGACTAAAGAACCAACTATATCCAAAAACATGCAACCTAGCCGGGCACATACCTGTGATCCCAGCACTCTGGGAGGCTGCAGCAGGAGGATTATGGTTCAAGCTCAGCCTGAGCAATTTAGCAATTTAGCAAGACCTTGTCTCAAAATAAAAAATAAAATGGGCTAGGAATGTAGTTCAGTGCAAAGGCCTTGGGTCTAATCCCCAGTACCACAATAAACAAAGAAGCAAGTAAGCAAACACCAAACACATTCAACCTCCACAAAAAATACCACAAATAAAATCAGAAAACAAACTACAGGCCAATCACAACGACACACACCTACAGTCCCAGTTGCTCAGGAGGCTGAGGCAGGAGGATTCCTTGAGCCCAAGAGTTCTAGACCACTAGACCAGCCTAAGCAACACAGTAAGACTCTGGAGATATGGAAAGCTGTTGTTTAGGTTCCAAACAAACAAACAAACAAAGCACTACAAGCTGGGAAAAGTGCTACAATTTGGATTTCTGACTAAAGAATAATAATACCCTTGCTAAGAACCCTTGCTAGTGGTACAAAAGCCACCACTCCAATTTTCTAAAAAAGAAAAAGCTGAGCCAGGTGTGGTATCACACACCTGTAGTCCCAAGCACTCAGGAGGCTGAGGCAGGAGGACTGCTGCGAGTTTGAGACCATCCTGGGCTACAAAGTGAGCTCAAGACCAGCCTGAACTGCACAGCAAGACCCTGTCTCAAAAAGACAAAAATAAATAAATAACTAGAAAGAGCTGGGCATGGTGGCACACACCTGTAGCCCCAGATACTCAGGAGACACAGGCAGGAAGAGTGCAAATTCAAGGTCAATCTAGGGAACTTAATGAGACCCTGTCTCAAAATTTAAAAATAAACTAAAGAGGACTGAAGATGTTGCCTAGCAACATGAAGCCTTAAATCCAATCCCAACTGCCACCAAAAAAAAGGCTAAAAGCAAAAACGCAATTATTAAAAGCATAAATAGTCACAGACACAGAAGGAACATTCAATCTTCACAGTATGTGGAGAGATACCAATGAAAACAACCTGCAATAGCACTCTTTATTTAGGTTGTGAGCATGTTAGAATTCCAGCAACCCAGTTCAGGGAACATGGAAGTGACCCATCCCCATGAGACTAGATGATGACTATCCTGCTAGGTATTTTTGGGCAGCATAGTGGGAGGGTCCACACCTTTGAGGTATGCTACTTTTTAACACATCAACCCTACTTCTGCTCTAGTACCCTGAGAACCCCTGGTGGAGGCAAGGGCCATGTCTCTGTTGTCTACTTTCTGGCATTCTTTCTACCCACTGCTCCCAACCCCAACTCAGTAGAGCTCCTAGGATGGAGGCCCCTGCACTATTCTGACTCAGTGGACAATTCAGGGTCCTGCTCGATCTGCGTATCACCCTAAGTCTTCAAACCATGCAGCCTGGGTCCCCAACCCACAGAGCTTATGCTCTTCTAGGTAGGCATACACTCACTACTGCACTTGGTGCCTCCCACTAGCCAGGTGTTATACCATGGCTGATATCCCCAGGGGCATCTACATGGGCAGAATATGGTAATGTGAACTGCAGGGACCTGGTAGACATGAGGGAAACTGGAGGGCTACCCAGGGGTCCTCAACCAGCCCTGCTGCCCACAGACAGGAGAAACTGAACAATGAGAAGGGTTCACCCCTAGGCCACACAGGGGCAAAGAGGGCAGGTGGTCTCAAGGGTGGCTTGCTAGAGAGGGGATGACCATGTGTGTGAAGCTGTGCACTAAGGTGTGCAGGGGAAAGTCAAGGAGGGCCACTATATATGCCTCAACCATAGGACAGGTTCAAGACCCACCTCCATTCTAGAGCTGCAAAAACAGTGGGCTCAGACAAGCCTAACCCTGACCTGCAGCTGAATGGCCTCAGTTGCCTCCTTTGCTGAGTGGGGAGTGGTGAGGATGCCCACTCCCCAGTCCAGATGCTGGAAGAGGTGTGCCGGCCAGCTGCAGCCCCCAAGGAAACATCTGCACATTCCAAAAGCATGTGGTCAGCAGTCAGGCAAGTGCCAGGCCCAGCACCCCCGCCCCGCACTGGCCGCCGTACTGGAAACAGGACTCAGGGGAACAGCTACGAGGGGCCGCCTGTGGACATTATGTAACCCACTCCTCCTGAGCCAGCCTCCTCCCTCCAACAACCAGGACAGCAAAGTGGGTAGGGGTCCCCATTCCCTCCAGGCCCAGCCAGCCAGCCCTATCAGCTCCCTGGAGGAAACAGTCTCCTCAGCAGAGCTTGGGGACGCCACAGAAGCATCGCTCCAGGAGCCAGAGCCAAGGAGAAGCAAGGAGAGCCCATAGTGAGAGGGCCGCCGCCGCTCCCCTCCTCACCCCCGGCCTGGCAGAGGAGAGAGGGGAGGACAGGCCCTCCTGGCCTGGCCACAGTACCTTTCAGCACTAATGTACTTTCCTTTCAGGAGCCCAGTAGCTGTGCCAGGGGTGTCTAACACCCTCGCTCTCCCTCACTCCCTTTGCTTTCTTTGCTTTTGTTCTCTTCTATTTATGGTGAGTGAGGCTGGCTTTCAGCCCCGGAAATGATGTTTAAATTAATGAATTCAAGTTTAAGAAAGAGTTGAAGAAAAACATGCAGAGAGCACGGGGGGGGGGGGGAGGGACTTCTTGGCTATGCCCACCCTGCATTTCCAGGGAAAAAGGGGCAAGAGGCCAGCCAGACTCAACACTGCTCTGCACTCTGATGCCCACCTCCCACGTGGCTCCAAACCAGGGCCCAGGAAGCAGCAGGGGGCCAGCCTTTGAGACAAGAGGGAAAGGACAAGGGTCCCTCAGCTGAGTTGGGACCTGATGATCTTAGTCCCAGGGCTGGGGCAGGAGAAGCAGGAGGGCCCCTACATATCACAGGGCATTCTGTAGGGTCTGCCTGTCCATACAGAACCCCTTATCACAGACACCAAGTGCCACTCCAGCCCAACACCACCACCTAGAATCCTCCTGGGACCCACAGACAAGGGTAAGAGAAAGGATCCAGGGGCTGGGGATTTAGCTCTGCAGCACAGCACCTGCCTGGCAAGTGCAAGGTCGTGAGTTCGATTCCTGGTACTGGAGGAAAACCAAAAAAAAAAGAGAGAGGATTCAGCATCAGAGCCAAAGGAAGTCGGGGGCCTTCCTGTACTGTGAGGGAAAAATCCTACACAGAAGGCTGTCACAAGAGCCATCCACTCTCATCTAGGTATTAACAGAACCAGGGTGGGCAGATGGGCGCACCCCGTCCCATCTGCAGCTGGAACATGGAGCCCCCCTCTAGGGGAAGGGTGGGAAAAGTATCAATGCTGAGAGGCCCTCCAAACCCCTTCTGGTGCCTTGGCACACAACAACTCAACACCAGGACTGCCAGTGGCTCACATCCCATCACAGCCGTGAGGGCAGTACAGTGCCAGCCTATTCAGACAGGAACCCTGAGGCTCAGAGAGACCTGTCTCTACCCCTATATTACCCCCAGAGAAGTCCAGGGGTGGCCAGGAGACCCAGTTTGTCCAAGAAGAAAGTTGGGGGCCCTGGCTTTCCAGGGGCTGCTGTCCTCTGCTGCGGGCAGCAACACTAGGCCAGCCAGCAGTCTCAGCACTCACACTCATTACTCACTCATCTCTCAGGCATGGCCAGTGGCATTAACCTGCCCAATACCAGGGCTAGGAAGCAGCATGGATCCCAGGACCCTTGAGCCTGTTCCACTCCCACAGCTGTGGCATGCC